GACTGAAGGGGAATCCTTTTACCGAAGTAAACCCACTTGCAAACATTGCGCGTTTTATTTCATAATTCTCGGTGAAAATTCTGTCGTATTTTGATACGTGATCGATAGGAAAAGTTTTTAAAAGTAAATTAAATTATACTAACAAGTAATTAGGGGTGAGGTCCATCTTACCCTGCTTCATTTTTGTACAAATTTAATAAAAATTTACAGAGACTATAATTTTGTTAGTAAACTGTCCTGGAGCTATTGTCAAATTGGGTCAATTATTGACTGTGCAATTTAAATTAAAATTGATGACGTCATTCTTACTATATTTCATTTTTATGTAAACAAATTTCATAAAATTATTTAAAAATTATATAATTTTGCTAGTAAACTTTTCTGAAGCTATTGTCACATTGAATAATTATTGAATGTGCAATTTAAATTGGAATTAATGCAATTACAAAAATATCCTACTATATTTCCTCTTCATAAAAACAAATTTCAACAATATAAAATTTTACTTCGGAGACGATGATAAGCTTAGAAACTTACATCATATACACTTACAGAAATATTAATTTAACTTTTAATCTTTAAAAAAAATTTAAGTGTGAATGTTTCTGATTGACTAAATAAACTCAATTTTTTTACAATGTATGCTGCGTTTAAGACAATTTCGTTTCGTCAATCCTGACATAAAATATTACATTTTAATTGGGCATTAGCTTTAGAACCTGACATAGAAAACTACCCGTAGTCATTATCAGCGACAATTATTGACTGTTCAACTTAAATTTGAAAAGATAAATCCTGGTTTGGGGGTGGGTATGAGGTCAAATTTTAATATATATATATATATATATAAAATTAATATATACGTTTACTTTGAAGATGATGGCAAGTCTTAAAGGAAAAAGGTGATGTTGAAATCTTTCTGGTTGACTAATTGAATTCAAGTGATTTTTTTTTAAATCAATGTGGGCTGCATTTATGAAAATTTGTTTTCCACAATTCTGCCACAAAAATTACGTTAATTTCGTTTTAATTTTAGAATCTGAAATAGTAAACAGCTATTAATATTTCATAGGCTAAGCTAATTGTGAACAGCCTTATGAATATGAAACAAATATTGACTGTTCGACTTAAATTTGAAGGAATCAGTCCTGCATTTGGAGGTGGGTCGACGCCAATCTTACTATATTTTATCTTTATATAAACAAATTTATATATATATATACATATATATATTTACTTCAGAGATGATGACAAGTTTTAAAGGAAATACGAGAACTTGAAAACTTTCTGATTGAATAATTGAACTCAAATGATGTTTTTATCAATACGTGCTAAGTTTAAGAAAATTTGTTTTCGTCAATTCTGCCATAATTATTACATGTTATTTGTTTTTAGTTTTAGTAGTTGAAATAGTAAGCTGACCTGAAGCCATTATGAACATAGTCAATTATTGGCTGTTCAACTTGAATTTGAAAGAATCAATCCTGTATTTGGGGTGGGACGAGGTTAATGGTACTATATTTTATTTTTATATAACCAAATTTTAACAAAATTATTGTATATATTAACTTCAAAGATGATAGCATCTCTTCAAGGAAAAACGAGATATTGAAATCTTTCTGATTGACTAATTGAACTCGAATTATTTTTTATCAATGTATGCTCCATTTAAGACAATTTGTTTTCGTCAATTCTACCACAAAATATTACACGTTTATTTGTTTTTAATTGTAGCTTCTGAGATAGTATATTGTCCTGGAGTCATTATGAACATGAGTCAGTTATTAACTATTCAACGTAAATTTCAAACAATCAATCCTTTTTTGGGGGGTACGAGGTCAATCAAACTACATTTTTATATAAGCCAATTTTAATAAAATTAATGTATATATTTACATCAAAGACGATGGAAAGTTTTCAAGGAAAAACGTGAATTTGAAATCTTTCTGATTGGTTAATTGACCTCAAACGATTTTTTTATCAATGTGAAGAATGTTATGTATTATATATGTATTATCAATGTATTCTGCATTTTAGACTATTTGTTTTTCTCAATTCTGCCATAAAGTATTACATGTTGATTTGGTTTTAGTTTTAGAATTGTGTGGTGATTAGTGACCGTTAATCAATAATTATTGAGAAATCGTGAGATGCGGTCTGGACCGCATCTCACGATTTCTGAATAATTTAGTTTTGGAATTTGAAATAGTAAACTATCCTGAAGCCATTAGGAATATGAGTTCAATTATTTACTGTTCAATTTAAATTTGAAAGAATCAATCCTGTATTTGGTAGGTGTGACGAGGTCAATCGTACTATAATTTATTATTATATAACCAAATTTTTCATAAAATTAATATAAATATTTACTTCAGAGATGATGGAAAGTCTTCGAGGAAAAACGTGAAGTTGAAATCTTTTCGATTGACTAATTAAACTCAAATGATTTTTTAATCAATGTATGCCGCCTTTAAGAAAATTTGTTTTCGTCAATTCTGCCATAATGATTACATGTTATTTGGTTTTAGTTTTATTACTTGAAATAGTAAGCTGACCTGAAGCTATTATGAACATAGTCAATTATTGGCTGTTCAACTTGAATTTGAAAGAATCAATCCTGTATTTGGGGTGGGACGAGGTTAATGGTACTTTATTTTATTTTTATATAACCAAATTTTAACAAAATTATTGTATATATTAACTTCAAAGATGATAGCATCTCTTCAAGGAAAAACGAGATATTGAAATCTTTCTGATTGACTAATTGAACTCGAATTATTTTTTATCAATGTATGCTCCATTTAAGACAATTTGTTTTCGTCAATTCTACCACAAAATATTACATGTTTATTTGTTTTTAATTGTAGCTTCTGAGATAGTATATTGTCCTGGAGTCATTATGAACATGAGTCAGTTATTAACTATTCAACGTAAATTTCAAACAATCAATCCTTTTTTGGGGGGTACGAGGTCAATCAAACTACATTTTTATATAAGCCAATTTTAATAAAATTAATGTATATATTTACTTCAAAGTCGATGGAAAGTTTTCAAGGAAAAACGTGAATTTGAAATCTTTCTGATTGGTTAATTGACCTCAAACGATTTTTTTATCAATGTGAAGAATGTTATGTATTATATATTTATTATCAATGTATTCTGCATTTTAGACTATTTGTTTTTCTCAATTCTGCCATAAAGTATTGCATGTTGATTTGGTTTTAGTTTTAGAATTGTGTGGTGATTAGTGACCGTTAATCAATAATTATTGAGAAATCGTGAGATGCGATCTGTCTGGTGTGATGTAGGTTTCAGAAAAATATTTTCTTTATCGTGCCAACGTTTCGATCTTTATTGAGATGTTATTTGGTTTTAGTTTTATTACTTGAAATAGTAAGCTGACCTGAAGCTATTATGAACATAGTCAATTATTGGCTGTTCAACTTGAATTTGAAAGAATCANATATATATATATTTGCTTTGAAGATGATGGAAAGTCTTAAAGGAAAAAGGTGACGTTGAAATCTTTCTGGTTGACTGATTGATTCAAGTGATTTTTTTAAATCAATGTGTGCTGCATTTAAGAAAATTTGTTTTCGTCAATTCTGCCGTGACAATTACGTTAATTTCGTTTTAATTTTAGAATATGAAATAGTAAATCGTCCATTGTAAACAGCCATTATGAACATGAATCAAATATTGACTATTCAACTTAAATTTGAAGGAATCAATCCGGTATTTGGAGGTGGAACGACGCCAGTCGTACTATATTTTATTTTTGTATAACCAAATTTTTATAAAATTAATGTATATGTATATATACTTCAGAAATGATGACAAGTCTTAAAGGAAAAACGGGAAGTTGAAAACTTTCTGATTAACTAATTGAACTCAAATGATTTTATTTTGTCGACTTCTGCATTTAAGAAAATTTGTTTTCGTCAATTCTGCTATAAAATATTACACGTTGATTTGGTTTTAATTTTAGAATCTGAAATAGGAAACTGTCTTGGGGCCATTATGAACATGAGTCAATTATTGACTTTTCAACTTAACAGAATCAATCCTGTATTTGTGGTGGGACAAGGTTAATCATACTACATTTTATTTTTATATAACCGAATTTTAATAAAATTAATGTATATATTTACTTCAAAGACGATGGCAAGTCTTCGAGGAAAAACTGAAGTTGAAATCTTTCTGATTGGTTAATTGAACTCAAATGATTTTTTTTTATCAATATGTCCTGCGTTTAAGAAAATTTGTTTTCGTCGATTCTGCCAAACTATTTACATGTTGATTTGGTTGTAGTTTTAGAATTTGAAATAGTAATCTGTCGTGAAACCATTATGAACATGAGTCAATTATTGACTTTTCAACATAAATTTGAAAGAATCAATCCTGTATTTGGCGGTGGGGTCATATAAATATAAACATATTCTTAAAAGATAAATAATAATTTTACTTCAAAAAGAAATATATAATATTACTTCAAGTTGTTTAAAATTTTTTGAATGACTATTTAAACTCAATTGAATATTTTTTAACTACTATATGTTGATTTCAATTTTAATTTTTTACCCCAGGTTGTTTGAACGATAAATTTTGCTCCGATGTTTTTTTATCAAAGAAGATCATTAATGACATTGTGTGATATTGTTACTGAAGTGGTACTGGATCGGAACACGCGACCGCATATTTGTGCTCTTTCATTCTGAGGCCGAATAGTCTATTGATCTTCCCTCGTAGCGGCAAGAGTTCATGCCTTTTCGACCGGCACGTCTACATAAAATCTTTTCACGTATTTACCGTTAATCTATCTCTTAATCTGCTTATCTCATTTCGACCCGATTGTCCGTTTAAGAGGTGTGGCCGAGAATTCAACCCCGATACTCGACTTAAAATAACAAAGCTTTGAACAAATAAAAAAATCTATTATAATATATTTTTTGTTGCATGATGCTTTTTTTATCTATAGTGAAAGGGTTTGCCTTTTTTACCTTAGTGTAATTGAGCTAAGCCCTGTCTGACGATGGGTTAGACTGGAACGGTGTACATCCCCCCTAGACAACACTGTACCGACTGGGTGAGTGCGCATGTACGCCTGTAACTCGATACCTGATCCAGCACAGCGCAGTCTGCTTACCCCTGCTACCGACGGCAACCTTCACTCACTGGCGATGACACAGTCTGAAAAGGAGAACTGAATGAAACAATTGCCCCACTCTGTTACCTATCGGCTATCTCTTTGGGGCGAACCTGTGGTGGGGCTGACTAGTTTTGCGTTGTCCGCTTCTCATTTTCTAAACTTGACAAAGCTAAAAACAACTTAATTATTGGCAAATAAGCACTAAGACCTGTATAGAAGATGGCCATATTATCTTTTTTTATTACTAACTGTATTAATAAAATATGCATCTCGTAATTTGAGGTTATCTACCTATTTATATTTATACACTGTATATCATGTGTTGAGGGGAGTCTCCCAGTTTTGTGCAAGGTTAGTCCTTGATGAGGAGGTCCCGAGGCCATCTCCGCTTTACTCGGCTGACAGGATTGTAGGGATGGATTATGTTGGATATGGATTGGGCTAGTGGGTTGGGGTGAATAGACAGTTTGTCGTGGAACTGGGTGAATTTGGACGGGATTAATTTATTTACAAAGGATATTTTGTGGATGGTGGCGTTGGAGTCATAGTAAGGAACGTTAACTATAATTCTAAGGATTTTGGATTGGAAGGATGCATTCGTTCGATGTTGGTAGGTTTAGCGGTGCCTCACAGTTCTAGTCCGCATGTCCAAATCGGGTTCAGTGTTCTGTACAGTGTTAGTTGGTTTTTGTCAACAAATTAGATTTGCGTCCGAGTAGTTTGTAGAGTAGTCCGACTCATCTATTCAGTTCTTGCCTTTTTATGTGGATGTGTTGTATCTACGTTAGTCATGAGTCAAGGTAGAGCCCAAGGTATCGTACCCAGTCAGCTTTGGAAATAGGGATGTTGTTGAGGTGTATTGTGCATTCGCTTCGGAGGGTAAATGTAATATGGGTGCACTTGTTTTCATTCATTTTTATTCTCCATATTTTGCTCCGTTCTGCAATACGATATACGTGTGATTGGAGCTCCTCCGAAGCTTTTTCACGATCGGGATTGGAGCTTGGCTTACAGAGTAACCCTGGATTTCTTGTGTTTATACTCTCATTTTTCTTTTTTAATACTTTTCATCATGGATAAATTTTATTATGCTTTGTTTTTGTGGTAGGCCTGTTGCTTTTATGCAAATGCAGACCATAACTTGGCGAATGTTCTAAAAAACGTAACAACTAAACAGTCAGGAAGATATAAAGGCACTAAATGAGTATGATTTTTAACTCAAATTTTTCTGCGAGTGCCTAAATCGCCCAATGGCTGTAGAAAAAGACAACAAGATTAGCTTCAAATAGGTGCCGGGACTTGAAGGTATAGAAGGAAACAGACAGCCAAAAAAAGGGGGCACCGTCTCGCACTACGTGCACTGGAGTGTGAACTTAAGCTACTGGAAAGCTCGATGAAAATTCAAGCACTGAACAAAAACACAAGGTTCTAGGCAAGCAGATTTATTAATCTCGTAAAAGTAAGGCGAAGTCCTCTCTCTCAGCTTGATTTAAAGGAGATTATAGCCCTCTATAACGGCCACTGCCGTCTTAACTACCACCTAAGAAAGAAGGGCATGGCAGAGACAGAAACATGCAGATTCTGTCAGGAGAAACCTGACACATCTGTACATATTTTTTATGAATTTGAAATATTAGACGGGTTACGGGACAGCCACTTCGGTTAGGCAGTTCTACCAAGACCAAAACAGTCTTCGTCAGGAATGTGCTTAGTGTCAAAGGAAAAAGTGAAATTTTCAAAATCGACCAATCCGTATCCAACTACGTTTTATGGATGAAATTTTATGAAAGTTCTTTGTTTACACAAAGATTTATTACGTTAAAAGTATTCACCCTTTAGACGTAACTATACATCAGACCAAAATTACACTTTACAATAGGGTCACTTAGAAGTAAGAGAAAAATCGTGTTTATTTTTCTAACTGTTAACTTTAAAATCAAATATACACTCGTACAGTGATAATCCTCCACCTTGGCAATCACAATCATGGTGAATTTGATGGAATTGCTTTATAGTGAAGAGGAGGGGGGTCAATAGGTCAATAGAAAAACTCAGACCCATATTTGTCTGATCATCAACAATCATATCTGCGATAGTCTGATTAATTCTAAATCAATCTGAAAAATCAACCTTTTACCATTGTTGATATCTGACAATCGAATTTGAATAATAATTAAATTAATTATTACAATCATTTAAATTGTATAATAAAAAGTTTTTTAATAATCCCTTATTCAAATTAAATAATATCAAGATTGATAAAACCGACGTAAGAAGTTAAACATTAGATAAACCGATATCTTTAAATTTAAAAAAAATCACTTAATATGCTATTTAAGAGGTCGTTGATAAGCTTTTCTGACCAATTTTCTTACTGAAATTTTAATTGAATGTGAATTTACAATTGGATGATTTATTCTGATATTTTTAATCCATTATATTTTTACAGTATTATATAATTCGGATAAGGGATTATATAAGGATTATTGCAAGGTGTCGTTTCTCTTTTCACCATTTTTAAGCTTTCCTAAAGATTTATACACTTTTTCCTTATTAAAAGACTCAAAATATGTGAGGAATTGTTGTGACGTGCGATAAAAAAACTAAAGATAAACTAAGAGAAAAAAATATGAAAGGTTATCACTTATGAATCTGTGCTGTTTCAAAGACATTTCCCGCTTTTATTCTTTTTTTTCGTCGTTTTGGTATTTTGGCATAATTTTTGAAATTGAAAAACATATAATCTTAGTAGCTTATCTTGCTTTATCTGATCTTAGTTAGATCCACGCATCATAATTACAATGCATAATCCATTTATTGAAAACATATTTTTGTAGCAAGAAATAATTTTTTTACTGCACCCCAAAAACCCTTTAATATAAATTTTTGAGAAAATTAAAAAGGATTTATTTTTTTACACGAAATGCTGGCCTTCGAAGTTTCTGGATTGTTTCGAAAATGGTTATAACCCATTACATTTCGTGGTACAATTGACCAAATAACATCTTTCAATTAATTAATCTTTTTATGTAAGGTATTAATTGAAATAAAAAAGCTAGCGTCACGAGCGGGATTTGAACCCACGACCTTCGGCTCAATACACCGCTGCTCTAACCACTTGACCTATCACGTGGACACCAACTCCCCATTTCAACCTACCTTTCGAATTTTCCCTCCTTTTTTTGCCATTTTTCAAATGTGTAATCAGGATTCGATTCTCGGCGACAAATGAAATGGCCACGGAGAGCTGTAAGTGAAGATATACTTCATTTTACTTATTAAATCCATTATATTTCGTGGTCCGATTGACCAAATAACATCTTTCAATTAATTAATCTTTTTATGTAAGGTATTGGTTGAAATGGTGGTTAGAGCCAAAGGTCGTGGGTTCGAATCTCGCTCGTGACGCTAGCGTTTTCATTTCAACCAATACCTTACATAGAATGGTGATAACTTTGACACAAATTTACTGATCTAGTGTAAAATTTATATGGATTTAGAAATTTATAAACGGCTAGTAATGGCATAAGGGCTACCGTAAATAAATTACAATTGGAGATTTTAAAAAAATGAAACGTCCTAAGAGTTTTTGTTAATTTACCTTATTTTTCTCATTATATTACCCTAAAACATAAACGCTTTTGACATAGTCTGAAAGAAAATTAATAAAGCTTTTTAAGTCAAATTTGGATAAAATCCTGAGATTTTACGGAATTTTGAAATGAAATCGGACATCGGGACGAAAAATAATACTCCCTTCTGATCAAACCCAAAAATATATTTTTTTTAATAAAAGTTTGTACTTAAAGGTTTGAAATGGTGCCTATAACGAATCCGGTTTTTTTCCAAACTTTGTCGGTAGCATCTTTGCATTTTTGTAACATGTTATGCATAACCATGAAATAGTGCAAAGTAAGAAAATTATTTTTAAAAATAAACTATGTCAATTACAAGAACTGTTAGACACGTGTGTAATATTTTTTCGACCTAGTAATACCCAAAAAAGGCTCATTGAAATCGAAGTTCTCACGTTCTGTAACATCCCATTGTTAATATTGTACGTATTTTCTAGGTTTTTATCGTTTGTGAATTGTAGTTTTGAATTTTTTGAATATTGTGTTAAATATTCTTGTCGTGTAATCAAAATCAACAAATGAAGGTTTTTAGTTGTCAGTGAAATGCATGGTCGTCACAAATTTTCTGCACGTGTTAAATTCAAGCCTATTCATTTGAATAAAAGGAAAGTTTAGCATTTTAACACATTAGATTCCTACTCTGACAAAAAGGTTTATCTTTTTTATTATAAATTTACATTTTCCCTATTTAATTCCTTACAGAAAATTGTTAAAATTAAGCCTAAATGTTAAGGCAGAATTCGGATGTCTAAGAAGAAGTAGTCAACCGTTGAAATTGGATGAAATACAGTTGAATGGTCTCACAGTCAATGAACGCATATCGGAACTTCATTGAGGGTCCGCCGTTTATCGCTTTTTGCTCTTCGCCTGAACTACTTCAGCTTAACACAATGGGAGGCGTTTAAATGACAATGCCTTAGTCTATTTCTACAAAGAATATTTATATTTAAAATATATACAGATTGGCGCTCTTGAATATTAGAAGTGTACCGTTGTAATCTTTGCTTTATTTACGCAAGGCATGTGTGATTTTATTTTAAGTTAGATTTATACTACTATTAGTAAAACATGGGGTGGTTTTACCCTTTATCATGGCTATTCTAACTCTATTAATATAGCAATGTGAGTAAGAGAAGGTATTCTCTCCAAATCGTGTTACGGTTATCAGGACTAAAAATTAAGTACTTCGAACTGAAGCAGTATTGCCATGGTGTCGTCCTGGACATATCTCAGATATTAACCCTACAAAGGTCAGGTTGGCCTGTTCCTATGTCCGTTTCCGGACTTACACAGGATTCTCAGACATTAACCCAGGGTATGGCATCCTTTGGTTCAGTAAAAGCTCAAACTGAACAACTTTTTGTTTAATGTGGTGATTAGTGACCGTTAATCGATAATTATTCAGATTTCGTGAGATGCGGTCTGGTGTGATAGGTTTCGGAAAAACATTTTCTTTATCGTGCCAACGTTTCGATCTTTATTGAGATCATCTTCAGGGCCTGGGATTTACAAACATTGTTTACATTTAACAAATACATTTAGGATGTAGAAAAGTGAATTTATACAATGCAAAATATATTTTTTATATTCAATCAAAGTAATGTATTTGTTAAATGTAAACGATGTTTGTAAATTCCAGGCCCTGAAGATGATCTCAATAAAGATCGAAACGTTGGCACGATAAAGAAAATGTTTTTCCGAAACCTATCACACCAGACGCATCTCATGATTTCTGAATAATTTTTGTTTAATGTTGAAAATTTTGAACGGCTCTTTTCCCCCGATTAAACCGATTGAAGATTGTAGAACGCGGGAATCGTAAGTTAATTAATATGTGCTTAACCAACAAGTTACACTAATAACCTAAATTTCAGTTTTTGATTTACTAAATTCGGTCGATTTCTTTTGATTGATTCACAAATTCCAAAAGGTCACATAGAATGTGCATTAATTTAAGATTAAACAATTCAATTTATAATTAAATCTAACGTCAAACCTCAGATATTGTTTCTCTTTTTACAAACCAAAAAAAGGTGTCAACAAGATAAAAATAATGTAAAAGCGCGAATCGAAAATATCTTACTAAAATCTATGGGCATGCTTAACACGAAATAACTTTAACACAACTGTTACCAAAACAAGTTATGTTGAAAAGCTTAATTAATTTTTTTCTTTACCATTGTAAAGAAACAATACAGATAAATTAAAGTTGTCAAATTACTAATTTAGACGGATTTATATTCCAAATTTCTAAAAAGTAATACAGATTGTTCATTAACTTAACTTTAAATCAATTGAACTTATAATTAAATCTAACTTCAAACCTTAGGGTTTTTTGTTTTTTTCCCTCAAATTCCAATAAATAATACAGAAAATGATGTAAAGAGAGAAATTCATAAAAACCCTAGTGAATAATGGCATCCCCCTACCCACAAGGTGCAGTATCTTGCTGGGCAGAGTGGAAAACCAAAAAATATTCAACTCCATAGGTGCATTTATGAACAGAAACAAAATAGAAATTTAATAAAATCAAAATGATAATAACAAGAAATGCATACTACATAAATTGAAATAAAATACACAAAAAAGAAGAAGAGGTATGTAGCAATATACCTAAACGGGCAAAGCAAAAAAATTTTTTAAAAATATGAACACAACTGTTATTAAAATAAATTATGTGGAAAAGCATAACTGTTGTTAATTACCATTGCAAACAGCATAAATTCCAGTTTTTAATATACCACATTTGATCAAATTCTTATCCGGATTTAAAAAAAATAATACCTAATGTGCATTAATTTAGCATTAAATTAATTAAATTTATAATTAATTTTAACTTTTTTCTTTTTTTACTTTTTTATGGTGGATTTTTTTGTATGAACCAAAAATGAAGTCATCAAGTTATCGCAGTATAATTATGACCCAGTGCTGCTGCGGACGTAACTAAACGCGGGAATTGAAAGTAGGTTACTAAAATCCGCGAATATGCTTAACACTAAGTAACCTTAACACAACTGTTACTAAAATAACTTATGTTAAAAACCACAAGTTTTGTTAATTCCCATTGCAAAAAACCACATAAATTCCAGTTTTTAATCTACTAAATTTGATCAAATCCTTTTCCGGATTTAAAATAATCAATACAGAATATACATTAATTTATCAATGAATCAATTAAATTTATATTTAATTCTAACGTCAACTTTTTCCTTTTTTCCCCTTTTTATGGTGGATCTTTTTGTACGAACTGAAAAGAAGTCAGCAAGATATCGTAGCAACACCAAGTAACCTTAACACAGCTGTTGCTAAAATAAGTTATGTTAAAAAGCATAATTGTTGTTAATCACCATTGCAAACAGCATAAATTCCAGTTTTTAATCTACTACATTTAATCAAATTTTTAGCCGGATTTTAAAAAAATAATACCTAATGTACATTAATTTAGCATTAAATTTATAATTAATTCTAACTTTTTCTTTTTTTACCTTTTTTAGGGTGGATTTTTTTTTTTTTTTTTTTTTGGTACAAACCAAAATGAAGTCATCAAATTATCGCAGTACTACACAGTGCTGCTGCGGACGTATCTAAACGCGGGAATTGAAAGTAGGTTACTAAAATCCGTGGGCATGCTTAACACTAAGTAACCTTAACACAACTACCAGTTTTTCTTTCAATCCACAACGTTTCGGATTTTAATCCTTCCTCAGGTGAGTTAACACAGTGGTTAAAACAGTTTTTTTAAAATCATTTGTTCGGAGTCTGAAAGACTTAAATATGTACCACACTGGATCTTTTTTAAAATAAACTGTTACAAAATATTAATGACTGACGACCACTGTTTTAACCACTACGTTAACTCACTTGAGGACGGATTAAAATAAATCCGAAACGTGTGGATTGAAAGAAAAACTGGTTGTTTTTTTGAGATGACCTATTATTCCACCTTCGAGAAGGAAAAATTATAACACAACTGTTACTAAAATAATTTATGTTAAAAAAGCGTAAGTTTTGTTAATTCCCATTGCAAACAAACAACATAACTTCCAATTTTTAATCTACACAATACCTAATGTGCATTCATTTAGTATTAAATCAATTAAATTTATAATTAATTTTAACTTTTTTCTTTTTTTACTTTTTTATGGTGGATTTTTTTGTATGAACCAAAAATGAAGTCATCAAGTTATCGCAGTATGATTATGACACAGTGCTGCTGCGGACGTATCTAAACGCGGGAATTGAAAGTAGGTTACTAAAATCTTAACACTAAGTAACCTTAACTCAATTGTTACCAAAACAAGTTATGTTTGAAAACGTTATATTTGTTATATAAAATTGTTCTTGTTGTGTTTTTCTTTGTTGTTTTTTTATAACGGTTCCCTTTTGTCTAATGAAACGAAGCCGTTATGGAAAATGGTTTGTCTGGCCAGTTGAAAACGTCCAGACAGTCCCTCAGCCTGTCAAAATTCAAGAACAAACAAGGGACTTTGACAAACTATTTAATAGGGAAAAATAGGTAATTACAAAAATAAAAAAGTGTTTTTCCTTTTTTTTAATGTTAAACTAATTATTCTTTTGTACCAGCCAGAAACTTGAAACCCAAAACAATGGTGTCAAGGAACAAAAGGGAATATTTGAGAAGGATAATGATCATTCCACTGTTGGTCAGTACTTGTGTTGTTTCTTATAATATAAATTATTTCCTTTGAGATTTGTCCATAAAAAATAGTTGCATGCTGAATATTTCCAATTGAGTCTGTTCCTATTTTCATTAAATTGTTATCCTATTGATATAAACTGCTCAAAAATGAATAGAAATATTGCCAATTTTGTATTACTTACTTTCCCTAGGATTTTTATTATGAATTTCATTAAAATTTATTAGAAATTATTATTTTTTTACTGAAGGAAAATTTAATTAAGGGATTTTGAAAAATAACAAAACAAAAGGTTTTAATTCCTTAATTCTGTTTATTGGGCATAATATTTTTTTAAACTAAAACCGTGTATAATGGCTAAAACCGCTGTGCACCTGTTAGGCATACCGTTAAAAAGGTTGCCACTAATTTCATTAGGATTTTCACTCCATTGGTGTTGCAACGCTGTATTCAGTTGTTGCAGGTCTACTAGCTAAGGGTGGTGAACGAAAATCCTTCTCTGCAACGCATCCCACATGTGCTCAATGGTCGGAAATCAAAAATTCATGCCAATGAGATCCCTGGTTTGGATGTATTCCTCGATAATTTCTTGGACATAATGGACTGCGGTGAAGTTGCCTTCAACAATATGAAGTCCAGTTCCTCCTCCAGGGTCATTGTATCATCCCCTGTTCTCGGTTCATCAGTGCCTGCTATCATTATACAACAGAAACGCGACTCATTAATAAACATAACAGCATTCCATTAATGTTCTCTTCTAGGTGCTCGCTGCACCATGCTCTCCTGAATTGCAGGTGGTCTCAAAGGGGCATACGATGTGAGGCCAACTTCCCACAAACGATTACATATCGTTTGTGTTAATAAAGGCCTTGCCAAAACTTCTTTTACTTCATTTAGGATCTGGCAGGCACTATGGAAAGGGTTCCACCTTGCAGCTATGACAATATTTCTGTCCTCCCTTAGCGTCATAATGTGCTGAGATCCACTACCGAGCCTCCAATTGGCACTTCTAGTCTCTTGGAATCAGTCTAAAGTCCGGGAGACCACGCTCTGAGAAACGCCAACTGGCTCTGCGATATCCACTTGACCTCAATGACTCATTCTCACAATAATATGGCGAACTTCTGGTTCAAGTTGATGTCTTTCCATGATTAAAGAGAATACAACTGGATTAAAATAGAGAAAAGATGAGAAAAGGTGTTTAGTTACAAAATGAGTAATCTTCATGTTTACTCTTCTTAAGTAAATCCGTTATTAAAAATGAGGATTAAAATTTATTGGTTTTTGGTATTTTCTATTTTGTTTTACCCAACTAACTAGAACACATTGGTTAATTTAATTAAAATTAATAGAATAAGAATAAATTACAAATATTCCTACTCATTTTTGGGCAGTTTAGATTGTTGGCTGCAGGGTTATGAACAATTTGGTTATTTCCCATTATTATACCATTGGTTGATTTGTCAGACGCATGTCAGCATTTCGCCGTACTGAGTGGTAAAGTGACAATGACTGAACTTGTCAGCCCGAACCGTTGAGTCCAGCAAACCAAAATGTTTAGTAAAATCAAATTTCAATTTATCACCTCACAGACCATAGGATAAAACTCACGAATAGCTAGACTGATACAACATTGGTCTTTGATAAAGTAGAATTTAATTTTTGAGAAGTTTTGGTCATTACTGATCATTTTGGTCCACCTATCCTTGCTTCAGACAAACGGAAGATTGAAAAATTTGTCTGACCAACCAGGAGAAGATAGGCTGACCAAAATGATCAGGAACAATCAAATTTTATGTTCTTCTCCTGCTAGGATGATATAAAATCGGTTTTTGTCAAAACAGAATTTAATTATCAAAAAAAGCTTCATGTGAAATTTTTGTCATTTCTATGATTTGACAAAACAGAATTTAATTTTAGAAAATGAACATACGAAATTTTGGTGCACCTATCCTCACCCTCATCAGACAAATGGAAAAATGCAAAATTCATGCTTGTCGGTACAAAATGGCGAGGATCGGCAGTATAAAATGATCTCAAATGAAATAAATGATAGGTTCATCATTCTTCAAGCCGCATGAGGAAATCTCGCAATATTATGATATACCTTGCCTATTCTCATTTTCTTTGCTTATACACATTTCAGCATTTACTCAATAGGATTTTTTGGTCATAATTATACTATCAATGACAACTTAGAAATGAAGACGTGGATACTATAAATTCACTTACTCGTCATAATCCAAAAACCTGGCAAGATTTGGAAAGAAAGAATCAATAAAATGTATCAATGTAAGGAGGAAGAGATTCCAAATCCCTATGAATCCTTAACTTATTGCAAGCTGAATGGTTAATTGAGCTTAAACACACATTTTATTCCTGGTTCTAATACATTTTTAAGCTTAATTTTGTTATTAAACTATTATTAATTCCAGTAACATTTATTAAGCAAGAAAATAACTTGTACATTTCTTAGAATTTAATGATTTTAAATAAATAAGGAAAACTTTTGTATTTTCTTTCAGAATTTGATGATATAATTTTTCCATCTGACGAAGAAGTGGAAAAGGTAAAGCATTCCCTACTTTCGTCCTATTTTTTTTTTTATTATTGTTATTTTTTTAAATTATGAAATGACAGGATGATGAAAAAGATCAAGAGAAGATCACTATTGAAGATATGTCACCATGGAGTTCACCTGAGAAAGAAAAGAAAGAAAATGACCAGCAAAAGGCAAAACATGGCAATTTGGTATGTTTAGCTCATGTTAGACAAATACTACCATATATCAAATGCATATTTTATTGACATTGTACAATCGGGTTGCAAATTTTACTTATGTTATTTTAATGTGTAAATTCCCTCGAGGATCATTGGCCCGATCCTTTTTAAAATATACACAGCTGATATTCCTACTTCCCCAAACACAGTCTTCTCCACGTTTGCCAATGACACGGCTATCCCCTCCCATCATTCCAAGGAGTGTTGCTATATTAAAAATGAAATAAAAGAAGGTAAAGTGAAAAATAAAACAACACTTGCTTCACTATGCTGGGATTTGAATACAGGGCAGCCAATATTGCAAATACAAAAAATATGATGTATTTATATATTAAATGCAATAAATAAATAAAAGTCCACAAACCTTATGTAAAAATACATACATGAATTTACCAGTGAAACTTTTTCTGGTAGGTCAGTATGTCTTGTAATAACTGTAGAAAAAAGGTGTGTTAAGACTGCGTTATGCTTTATTTCATCTTTGTCATCATCAGAAGTCACTTGTACAACAGATTTGCTCAAGCTTTTGTGATACAAATACCTTTCATTAAATTAAATAACAGTTACCTGTGGAAGAATATTTAGAAAAGTATAAGGGACAAACTGTCTCTGACTAAAGTCTAGTCAGAAAAAAAAAATTATCTGTAGACTTTTCTAACCTTTAGCGTGTCTTTGTTTGTTATTTTGTCAATTATGCCTTATTATGAAATATTTGTACCACTGAGGATAGTCTGATTGACCACGGGTGCGAATAGATAGGCCAGGATTATAAAAGAAGTATACAATATTTCACAATTTTATATTATTATTGGGTTAAGCCAGTGATTTCCCAAACTGTGCGCCCGGGCGCCTTGGCTGTGCTACAAGGGCGCTGCGAAAATTTTCTATAAAAAATATTATTTTTATATTTATAAAAATAATCCCTACAAACAATATAGCTCTAAAAACTAAGACCATGGTGGCCACCCAGTCTCAATTTGGATGTTAACAAGACAGCTGCAATTATTATTGCCCCCCCCCAAAAAAAAAAATTTCGCTATTAAGTATTAATTGCTTTTCAAAAGGTAATTTTTGAAATTTAACAAGAAAGTCAGGAGTTTTGATTCTTTATTAAATAAAATTGAATACAAAATAAGACGTTTAGATATAATCAAAGCTTTTATTGAAAGTGAATTAAAGTTTACACTGAAATAGTTCATTGCTTTGACTTGGGGTGTCGCGGAAAAATTCTGATATGTTAAGGGTGCCGGAAACAGAAAAAGTTTGGGAACTGTTGGGTTAAGCTGAAAGTAAAAGAAAAATAATTTTTGAAATTTTGATTGCTAAGTTGTCTTTAGTCTGCTTCACAAGTTGACCAAATGATAATTTAAAACCTTTATTTATTTGTAAAATTTAACATAAAGGATAATTTATTTTTGGATATTTTTACACTTTATGATCAATTGTTTCAACAGAATGAAACCCGAAATACAAGCTACATTATTGAAGATACGTCTCCTTGGAGTACCCCTGAAAAGTATAAATCTTCTGAACCAGAAAAACCCAAAAATGATAGTGTTATAACCATTGACGACAGCCTAAACTCAAACCAATCTCAACTATTGCCAACTCAAGTCAAGTCTAAGCCAACGAAAAGTTCAACTGTGCTTATCAGCACCGACGACGATTCAGATATCGATCTATCTCCCTTTAAATTTAAAAGGATAAAGAATAATTTTTCAAAAAAGTCGCCAAAAAAGGACAGGAAAAAATCAGAATCCTGCATATTAGATACGCCCGAGAAATGTTCAATTCAGAGCCAAGTATCTCCTAAACCTTTGAATTCTAGTTTTATCAACAAAAAATTGAAAAAGGTACTTTTAACACCAGTTAAAAAGAATGTTTCACCTGACAAAAAAAGAGAAATTCCAACACAAGAAAATTCTTGTAATGGGGATATCATTTCAACCAAAGCTGAACAAGAAGATCCTATTAGTGGTACATTTGACCCTGATGGTAAGTTTATTTATAACTTCTTTTTTTTAATTAACTTTTTTGATCTGTTCCAATTTCAGTAGTCTAATTCTAATTGGTAATTTTAGATTGTTTAGAAACTTGGTTGGAAAGTATGTCTTCCCACCCCGGCTTTCAGAAAGTGTCTAGTGACGTAAGCCTTAAACATGACTATAAAATCATTAATGAAATCTATAGTTAAATCATTATTTTTTTAGATGCCAGCTGACACATTGTCTAATTGTTTATCAACAATTAAACAATGTGAACAAGATATCTTAGAAAAGGTATTCAATATATTTGTAGCCTTACCGCCATTTGTTTCTGAGCTCATACCTTGCTTGAAGGGAAACAGTTCTTTGTTAACGAAAATGCAAATCCTTAGACAGAGGGCAAAAGCGAAAAAAAGACAAGTTGAAAATGCTCTCAAAGCCAAGAGTAGCGCCGATTTCAATTCTGGCATGTCTAAGAATTCTATGTCAAATTTAACTATAGATTCGCAGAAAAATAAATTTGAAACATCTATGGATGATTATTTTGATGAAATGGACTATGAAATTAATTATCAAATTGAAAATTCTTTAAAAGAAGATGCAAATATAAATAATTCGATATCTAATGATTTAACATTAAATGCTTCAAGTGATATGTTCAATATAACAAAACCGGCTACTTCAGAACAACCTATCAACAATTTCTCTACTGAAATTAGTCAAACATCAACACCAAGCTTTGGCGGTTTTAAATTAAAAAAGCCAACTCATATTCGAGAAATACTTTCCTCTTCTATCAAACAGTCACACGAGACATCAAAAGTAAATCTTAGCATATCGGATTCAATGGCAGGCAAAGAGCCTTCCCCGGATAAGTTTGAACCAAAGTTGAACATTCCTGACAAGGATCCTTCAGATTCGAGTAAATTTGAAAAAATGTATTCAGATTTTTGCCCTGATGAGTTCACAAAAAGTGTTAAAGAAATGCCAAAACCCATCATACGGAGTATGCTATCTCAACCCAAACAAATCACAGAATTCCAGCCTTCACCCAGACCTCAGTCTCAAATCGTAAAGCCTGGGATTTCAAATCAGGTTTCCTCTACACAACAAACTAACCATGGTAAGTTTGAATAAATTACTCCTTTTTGTAACCAGTAATTTACAATTTGTCTAGGTACAACGGAACGAACCTTTCAGTCATTAATTTTGGACACCACTTCTATTGACAGTGCAAAGCAGTTTAACTCGACAAACTACCCTCATTGTAAAGAAATGTTCAAAGTAAGTTTTTCAATCATTTTTGACCAATAATTGTCAATTTAAAAACATCAAATTGTTAACAAATGTGCAGGTTTTTAGAGAAAAATTCGGTTTACACAAATTTCGCCCGAACCAAATGGAAGCAATCAATGCTGCTATGCTTGGATTTGATTGTTTTGTTTTGATGCCAACCGGTGGAGGTAAATCATTATGCTACCAGCTACCGGCTACTATTTCCAAGGGAGTTACCATTGTTATCTCTCCATTAAAATCCCTCATCTTTGATCAAACAGAAAAACTCAAATCGTTAGATGTGAGTAATGATTGGATTTTTTTAGAAATTTATTACAATTTTATTTTAATTTTCCAGATATCTGTTGCATGTCTTACTGGAGATATCAGTCAAAATCAAGCTAATGAAGTTTACCATCGACTAACACCATACAACAATGATACTGGTATATTGAAAATTTATTTGTTTTCATATTGTCAGGCTTTAGTAACATTTTTTTTTCAGAATTGAAAATTCTTTTCGTGACGCCTGAAAAAATTTCCTTCAGTGACAGACTAAATAGCATGTTTTTATCTTTGTATCAAAATAACCTGCTAGCAAGGTTTGTCATTGATGAAGCCCACTGCGTTTCACAATGGGGTCATGATTTCAGGTATTAAAAATTTATAAAATACAATGTAAAAAGTTACAATGTTAATTTAATAGGATTTAAACAATTTCTGCAGGCCTGATTATAAAAAATTGAAGCTTTTAAGAAACAACTATAAAAATGTTCCTATGATGGCATTAACAGCTACAGCAACCCCTCGTGTTAGGAAAGACATCATGTTTCAACTGGGTCTTAATTCTCCTAAATGGTTTTTATTTTATTTATATAATTGTTAATTTCAAGCTTGTAATATTTTTTATTTTCTAGGTTTCTTTCGAGCTTTGATAGGCCGAATTTGAAATACGAAGTTATTACAAAATCAGGGAAATCAGCTTTGTTAGAAATTATCGGCCTCCTCAAGACAAGGTTCGCTTTTGAGTTAAATTGTGAAAATTACCGTCATAATTTTTTTGTCGTGAATTTTCCAGGTTTTCAAAACAGTCAGGGATTATATATTGCTTTTCTCGAAATGACTGTGATAATTTGGCTAAACAGCTTAAACTGAATCAAATAAGATCAGCAGCATATCACGCCGGCCTTTCGGACAAACAACGATCTGATGTACAAACTCAATGGATCTCTGATAAAATAAAGGTGATGAAAAAGCATTACATAATTAAATATTAGCATTTCCTTCAATTTTAAAAAGTCCCTAATCTTTTAAATATTTATTTATAAAACATTTTATCCAATGTTGTATTTTTATTGTTTTTGTACTGTAGAGTCCCAATAATCCAAACTAATTAAGACTGAGCTCTGTTCATTTTAGTTCAAATTCATATTAGCTGAATAAATGCAGAAACTAGGCAAAAAAAATTGTTTAATTTATTAAGGAATGTAGGGGACCGTAGTGGCTGAGTGGTTACAATGTCGGACGCGTATTAGCTTGGTGGTTCTAGGTTTGAATTGGCAGTCCATGGCTTTTAACTAATAATGATATTGTAAAGTGGTTTAACCCTTTGATTCTGTGACATCCAATGACCGTTGGATGTTAAGCTTTACTGTATGACTTTACAAAGAATGTATATACAGACATATTGTACAGTCATTTCAATTTTTTTCAACTGGAAAAGCTTTTTTAAATTTGTTTTTAATTTTTTATTCTGTGAAGACCATGCAGTTTGCTCTTCTGTGTGTATGTGCTTGTTAGATTATTTTAATTAATTATTTACCCATTTTGTTCGATTAAGTAAAATAAATGAAAAATTATTGTTGAAAGTTGAAATGACTTTTGTTCAACTATACACACAATTTGAACAGTATGTAGGTGCTACATGGGACTCATCTCTGTAAAGTAAAGGTCCTGGGTTCAAATCCAGCAGCCCTGCATGGCAAATGTTTTTTTTGTTTTTTCACTCCAAGGGTTGATATGACCTCTGCTGTTATGAACTCTCATTTAAAAATAAAAGTGGTTTACAAAAGAAATTTTTTCTCTCCATTGACTGATTTGTATTTGGATTGACTAAACTTTTTGTCTCAATTCTTTGTGTCTGAGATGAATCCTCACGTGCGTCTGAGCTTCCCAGACTCATTGTCACAGTAAATCTGGTGTGTCACGAGTTATTATTTCCCATCCATTATGGAATTCTAGACTCATTGTGGCGCATACAGGTGGGCTTAACATCAAACTATCCATTGGGTGTATCAGATGAGGGTTCAAACCATTTTACAATACTTTCTTCATATTATTAACAATTAAAAATCCATGGGCTATGTCTGGATTCGAACCTAGCTAGTGTGGCAATACGAGTTAGACGCCCTAACCACTTGGCCACTGCTGTTCCCCTCATGCTGTGGAATCTCATGTAACTGTAGAATCAAATTAAATTAATTTATAGAGATCATGCCTGGAAGATGTCTGAAATAAATGTAGACATTGGTTGCTTCAAAATCTTAAAACTTGTGGCTTGGTCTTCACTTGTTAGGAAGTGAATAGTGACAGCTTATCTTATGGCTGGGGAGGTAGATTCCTTAAATTGGAATTTTCATAAAATTTGATTACCAACCTTGATTAAAATGGTTTAAAAATTGTTTGGGGATGTGCTCCAAAAAATTCTGAAAATGCCATTTCCTATTTTCACTCTGTTCCCGACTTGAAATAATTTCTGGTCATTTTTTTTTAATTGTTAATTATAAATAAAGAGCTAGGATTATTTTTGAATGATGCTGTCATTTTTCTGACAAACTGCTTTAGGTAGGCGTACGGATTAACAGACTCCCCTGTATTTTAGAAATAAAAACTGTGAAGAAATACAAGATAGAACCATCCTTGTTGAAGTTTTAATTTGTTAGAATTATCATTGTTATGGGTTGAAAGATAGTGACTAAATACAATTTACGATAATTCTTACCTGTCTTTTCCTTGTTTCCTCTCTTTTATGAACTTTTCATACAAATCATATAAATTTATTAATTTTTCTAGGTTATTTGTGCTACAATAGCATTTGGAATGGGCATTGACAAGCCCGATGTCCGATTTGTCATACACTATTCTCTTCCCAAATCTATAGAAGGATATTATCAGGAAGCTGGGCGAGCTGGGAGAGACGGGCAAAAGTCGAATTGCATGCTTTATTACAATTATTCCGACATGCATAGAATAAGGAAAATGATTGATTGTAATGATTTTTAATTTAAATACATTTTAATCCTTGTTTTCTTAGGAATTTATTTAATTATTGTTTATTTTGTAATCCAGTTGATCGAGAAGGTACTGCTGAATCTAAACAAACCCACATCGATAATTTGTGGAGAATCGTAGCATTTTGCGAAAATAAGACTGAATGTAGGAGAGTTATGCTTTTAAATTATTTCGGCGAGAAGTTTTCCAAAACGAGCTGCCTTTCTCATCCAAGTACCACTTGCGACAATTGCTCCTCTCAAGTAAGCCTAATACGTTTTCATTTATTTTATCGCCACAAATATATTGTGTATCGTCGCTTGTATATTTTTCAGGAACAATTTGAAACCATCGATGTGACAGCTTTCGCCAAAGATGTCGTCATGGGGATCAGAGACATATGCGGAAATGTTTCAAATTCGACTTGGGCGAAAAATTTCACCACACCTCATATTGTCGATGTTGTCAAAGGAAGTGAAGCTAAAAAAGTGATTTCTGCAGGTAATAACAATATATAGTTTTAATTAAATTTTTATGTTAATATTTTTTTTAAAATCATTTAGGACATAATAGACATAAAATTCATGGGATGCTTAAGTCCTGGCATAGAGGAGATATTGAAAGAATGCTACATAAATTGACTTTAGACGGATTTTTAGATGAACTCCATCTTCCTTCTAGAGATGGTATTGTAAATACTTACATAAAAATTGGTCCAAGGGGGCAGCAGCTTATATCTGGAAATGAAAAGGTAAAAAAAAAATACATTGATTGAGTCAGGTCATAAAATAAGTTCATAGTGTAAATTAAATGAAAATTTCAGGTACCATGAACCATTTTGTTCCATTACCTGCATCTTCCCTGTAATTCCACCATCCCAGAACTTCAGATTTTTACGACCGTGAATGAGCAGTGAACCTGTTGATGTAGTTTTTCATGAAGTTTTTTCAATTATGTATGTTTGTAAAGCTCGGAATAAGTGAAAATCTGAAGGGGGAAATGTCAGGCAAATACGGTGGATGGGCACATCCCAGCCAGCCATGCTTGAACAGTTTCTGGTGTGTCTCCAAAGACAAAAAAGATGCGTAACCCTGGTGGAAAACAATAACCTTTGACTAGCCAATTGGCTAATACCGGCCATTTTTTTTTTTTTTTGCCAATTATCAACTTTAATTGCAACATTTATGTGCAGTATACCCTAGAATTAATGGTTTGGTTGGGCAAAAAAAAAAAACAACAGATAATAAAGCATATCATTTCAACCCCACTAAATACACAATATCCTTGGGTTGTAATCCATCTTTTGGAGTTTTTATTGGTGGATTCCTGCCTCTCAGGATTTTCCTCTTTGAATATTATAAAGGGCCTACTTTTCATCCCCAGTTGTTGTTTTTAAAAAAGTGGATTGTTTACATTCACTTGAAGGAGGGAATCACAGATTGAGAGATGGTTTAATAAATTCTTCTCAGTCAACATAAGGCAACATATTTTGCTGACAAATATATCCAGCTGTCGCAGATGCGTTGAAATGCTTGTGACAAAGGTCTCTGATGTCCTGTATTGTTGAGTTGGATTATTTGTGACAAAAGCTTAAATTTGGTCATCATCTTTCAATTTTCTTGAATCTTTAATCTTGAATTTTCTTTTAGTCTTCCAAAACAAAATTATACTTCTGAACCTAAAGCCTCATAAACATCACAAATTTTTCTAGCAGTCTGAGCTCGGTTTTCCCTTTTGCGGTAATAAAAAATGATTAAATGGCAAAAATGTATTATTTTTTCCTCCATTTTAAATCCCAAATGAAACCGTTAACTAATCCGTTTTAAGAGTGTGTGAACAATAATTGCAAATATTGCTTCAAAACAGAAAAAGGATAAAATTTAATTATTGAAAACGCTACGGACTCATTTTATAGCCCATTATAAGCATATTATTTTTTTTTTTTAATTTCAATATTTTATATTTCTCTTAGGTGACCCTTGCTATGAAGAGCAAGGGTACAAAAGTTACTGGAAACAACAAAGGTAGCGGAGATTCCAGCGATTCTGAGGATGAAGACATCAAGGACATCCAAGAAAGTTGTTACCTTGCGCTGTTGGAAAAAGTTCGCGATATTGCTCTCGAGCTCCATGTTAATTCTAACTCTGTCATGGGAATTGAGGTAATTAATCCTCATGAAAACCCAAAATTTCAGTTAATTAATTTTTATCATTCATCAAGGCTTTAAGATCCATGTCGAAAATCATGCCAACCACCGAAGAAGAAATGTTGAAAATTGTTGGTGTGACAAAAGCAAATTTTGATCGTTACGGAAAACAACTGATGGAAATAATAGAAAATTTTGAAGCCTCAAGAAATGGTATTCATGCTTAAAACTAAAAAAAAAAATAAATAAAAAAAATTGGACGTGGAAATAAAATTTGTTAAATTGCAGTGCTATTATGCGAAAAGGCAGAAGCTCTATCGCAGAAGTCAACCGTTAATGCTGCAATGGAAAATGGAGAAAACTGGTTATCAGCTAGAACTGAATCGCCATATTTTCCATCTTCGGAACCTTCCACCAGCTCTGGTTTTAGAGGAAGGAAAAAAGGTTTCAGAGGACGATCAAGCAAGCGTGGAAGAGTTACAAAGTAATTACGTCGTTCATGCCTTATCTGCTGAAATGTTTTTATTAAAAAAAAATTCTAATTTCAGGAGAAAGGCGACTTCATCAAAAAAAGATGGTTCCACACTCAGGTAATAATTTTAAACATTTCTTATTTTCAATTAACATTACAATTTTTCTGGGTTTTTTTTCCTAGGACAAAATTGGCAGCAGTAGCAAAGAAAGTAGGGTAAGTAAATTCCACATTTTAATTGTACTCAAGAGTTTCCATATTTTATCATTATCTCTATTTAAATAGTTTTGTATTTTTTAAAAATAAATTTTATCTCATTTTCAGCCTTGGCGGACTTGGCGTAAGGTCTCCTAAAAAAAAGGGAGGCACTTACATCCCACTTCCAAGAGGTTCTTTCTAATTTATCTGTGATTGTTTTAGTGATAATGTATTTTTTAAACCTGTAATTATCAATACTTAATACGTTAATGTCACATTTATACATAAGCTACACAATTTTATAGCTAGCCCACTTTTTGTTGTGTGAAAATAATTGTTAAACCCTGTACATATTTTTGTATCATTTTGTAAGTGTCATATTTAAATAACAAATCTGTTTTTGAAATAAATTAATGTTTATATATGTAGTCATTTCAATCACATTCTGACCAATTTTTATACTTCAAACCAAAAGTATGAGGTTATATCAAATATAAACAACTTCCGAGTCAGAATGAGCTATAGATGTCAAAACGTCATGACAATGTATCTAAGGTTCCATAAAGTGTGCCAGATCCTTTGACTTTTACAGAAAGGAGCCGAGACTGCAGATCTGCCAGTTTTCAGCACACTTTGATCGTCTCCCTATAGCCCTGACCTATCACCGTGCAATTTTCACCTTTTTTGGCACCTTGACATGCAAAAATGAATGTGTCTCACCTGTATGTGAAGCTACACAGACAATATGAGGCCACTGAGGCATCATCAGCGAGTTGTTTCACCAGATGGATCACACTACCGTGGCATCAAACTCTCATGAAATATCTACCTGTTAAATTCATCAAACAAAAATGTAGTGACAAAAAAAAAGAAGCAGTTGGAAGGCCTTTGTGAGCACTTGGCAATTGGCACTACCTTCTTCATTTTGTGATTCTGGGATTAAAAACCTCCAAATCTACTCGATAAAATGCATTTCCAAAGCAGATAACCTTGAAAAAAAATCTTGTTTATTTAAAACTATAAGTATTTTTATCATTATATTAATTATAACATACTTATTTTAATGTGAACTAAATTAAATGAAAACAGAAATTTGAAAGTTTTAATAAAAGTTCTTTAATTATGATGGGTTAAAAGGCATTTCTCCAGAACTACAGCTTATTGCACTATATTCCTGGCTCCATTTTTGGGGGGCTCGCAACACACGTGTCAATTCCGTCCCAGGTGTGCCAGTTTTCTTCCATCGAAGAAATTAATTTTTGAAGGGTGTTGGGACCAATTTCAGGGTCGCTGGAATCAGATCCTGCTCCAGACCTTCCATTGATGAGTGCTGTGTCAATTCCTTTCAATTGCGGCCACCGTCACCTTAGACACCAAAAAAAAGTCCAAAGGTGGTGGTGGGAATCGAACCCACGACCACGGGATCTACTAGTCGAGAGCCTGACGCCTTAACCACTCAGCTTCCACGGTCCCCCTAGACTAACAACAAATTGTTAGTTAAATTTTAATTTTAGGGTTGGTTTCATTTGAGATCCTGGAGAAGAATCAGTTAAAACCAATATCACAAACTCCAGGTTAATTTAATATTATTAACAAAAAGATTCAATTTTGACCATGTTTTAATTGTATATTTATTATTCTTCAAATAAACAATACAGGCTAAAAAATGGCTTGTCATTAGTTGGACAAAGATTTGTCAATGAAAGACGAAAATAGATTTAAATTTAATCAAAAATCATGCTATGGATAGCAGAAATGTTTGCCTCATTGCAGGACGTTGAAGTGTAGTATATAGTGAATTCAATCGCAATTTCTAGACTCGAGCCACAGGAATTTAAGAGAATGTGTTTCTGTTTCTGATTAACTGGTTCACTCTCAGAATGCCAATACATCCATTTCTTAGAGAAAATTAATGGGGGAGGGGAGAGAAAAATGGATTCCGTATATATACAGTACTACCATACCTCGTATTAACAAAAGACGCTGAGAAATTCATATGGCTGATGGTTTAAAGAGGAGAATCCATTACAGAAAATATCACCTGCCACTGATGAATTCAAAGATGTTAAGAAAAATATTTAAGCATGTTTTAATTCTTACATGACATGCGTATTATTGTATAAACATTAAAAATTAAAAACTCAATACTTTTTTATCCAGGTAGGGGCTTTTAAAATAAGGGGCCGGATTTAATTGATCACTTATAACAATTTTGTGGGTTGAATCGCTTAAAATTTAATAAGTCAAGCAGAATGAGAGAAATGGAACAAGAGAGAAAGGGAACGAATTGAATTGAACATTTCATTTATAAACCCTTGCAAGATTAGGCCTCTTGGATATTTCTTGCACTTAACGAGCATTCGTACATACAAATATAATTTTTTACTGTCTACATATATTTTTAATTATTATTGACATACAGAGTATGATTAAACATAATGCAATGAGAGAAAAGCTTTTAGATGTTTCTTATAAATACTTTTAGATTTACATGATTTTAAAACATTAAGGTAAATTGTTGTAAAGTATTACAGATTTAACAAAAATAAATTATAAAAACAGTGTGTATGATGCAAAGGCATTTTAAATGCAATTTGAGAAGGTGTAAAAGTAGTTTTTTTTTTTTACTTTAAAATGAGAAACAATATCAAATAAATTAAATAAAAATTAAATTATTTTTGTATTGTTATCATGTCATGGAAAATAGTCAAAATTTAGTATTTTAACAAATTGTCAGTTTTTAAAATGGATAAATTATAGTATTGGTCATAAATTATAGAGTAATAGTGTAGATTACAGATATAGCGAATACACATATTCATAGTTACAACTTATGAAGATTTTTACTAGAAAGAAAAGAAATTACTGCAAGGCCCTAAGTTAAATTTGGAAGCATCAGTGCATTAAAAAGCTTTAGCTTCACGGATGAATTATTAATATGAAATAGTTAGTTTCTTAGTGACCTGTTGTTTCATAATTTGTTGAAGTCATACGGAGCGGACAAGAATGACGACATCGAAAAATTATTATTATTTTTTTTAATTGGTATACAATGGAATTTATTCTGCTACAAGATTTAACAATATATGTATTCCAGGTTAAATATTTATCTATTACTAAGCCTAGAGTTTTTATTTTGTTGTTTAAAATTAATATACTGTCATCAATTTTGATTTCTATAACATTATCTTTCTTTAAATTTGCAAACTGTTTGTGATGTCCTAATACATTAGCTTTAATTTTTTTAATATTAATGAAAAGAGAGAGAGAGAGTAAGAGAGGCAAAAATAAAAAGAGAGAGAATATAGGAAGAGGAGGATAAGAGAGAGAGAGAGAGAGAGAGTGAAAGAAAGAGAGAAATCTAGATATATAGAAAGAGGGTGAGTGTTATTGATAAGGAAAGAGAGAGAGAGAGAGAGGGTGGGAGGGAGAGGGCGAGAGAGAGGGAGAGAGAGATTGAGAAAGAAAGTGAAAGAAAAAGAGAAATCTAGATATATAGAAATAGGGTGAGTGTTATTGATAAGGAAAGAGAAAGAGAGAGAGGGGGAGAGGGCGAGAGAGAGGGCAAGAGAGAAGGAGGGAGAGGGAGAGAGAGAGAGAGACTGAGAAAGAAAGTGAAAGAAAGAGAGAAATCTAGATATATAGAAAGAGGGTGAGTGTTATTGATAAGGAAAGAGAGGGAGAGAGAGAGGGCGCGAGAGAGGGTGAGAGAGGGCGAGAGAGAGGGAGAGAGAGATTGAGAAAGAAAGTGAAGGAAATAGAGAAATCTAGAAATATAGAAAGTGGGTGAGTATTATTGATAAGGAAAGAGAGAGAGAGAGAAATAAAGCGTGAGTGGGGAATGGGAGTGAGTCATTAAGTAGTAAATGAGATAGAGAAGGGGAGAGAGAGAGAGAGTGAGAGAGAGAGAGAGAGAGAGAGAGAGAGAGAGAGAGAGTGAAAGAAAGAGAGAGGGTGGAGAAAAATTGAAAAAGATAAAGAGAATGGGTGAAACAGAAAGAGAGGTGAGAGAGAAGCGTTTGGAAAAAAAACCACAGACACGTGGTATTCTGTCAGGGGAATAAGCAGGTCTGTCTCGTTGCCTGAAATTCTCCCATGACCTGGGAAAGAAATAAGATTATAATAAAATGATTAAAAAAAAAGGAATAACCTTAGCGTTAGGTCGTTTGTAGTTCCGAGTTTTTTATAATTATTATTTTTTAATTTAGATATATTTACATGGCACTGCATATACCATGTAAGGGGGTATCTTTTGTAATATGTTTTATTAATCAAAAGTTATGTCGAAATTGTGAAAATGTCGCGTCATTTTTATTATTTAATTTTGAAATTAGTGAACGTTGTTTGACTCTCTTTACTTTATTGCCTTCTGAAAAAAATGATCGAACTGGAATCCCTCGCTGAATATGCAGCAAATTTTAACACTCCAAAAAATGCTTATTTTGCTTTTTTTAAATAAAGGGTAATTTTTGATTATTATATTTTTTATAATTTTTTTTAGTAGTCGTGTCCGATTTTATTCAAACATTTCTATTGGTTCAATTTACATCATTTTTTTTCTAAATTATTACCATGCTGATTTGATATGTCGGTAATTTTATGTTAAAAATATATTTCCCTCGTAATAAAAAAAATTATCGGTCAGATTAGCAAACCTCATGCTATAGTAAAAGGGCCGTAGCAATATTTTCAAATGATGCAGTGCAGAATGTTTTACCTTGGGTTTGGGTGGCGTGTTAAAGAAACTGCCCTGGCTTTTGCCTGTAGTTAATTGCACTATCGCATGAGTCGGCCCACACGTGTCCCTTCTAATTCCTTTTTCCAAACCGGCAATTTTTTTCTTCTCTATTCCATTTTGGATAGCCGAAGGGTGAGGCTGAATCCTGTAGTTCGATTTTGTAGCAAAAACGGACGTGAATCCTTCCTAATTATATTCCCTCCGTTGGAATTCGTCCAACAGTGGAAGACTTCTTGACTCTGTTGTTGATTTGATGGCACAAATATAAATTGTGAAAACCATTTTAAAAATAAAAGTTTAAAAAAAATACATTTTACAGTCAGAAAAATTGATTACAAATATTTAATATTTTTTTAAATGTATAAAAAAAATCAAACAAAAAAGACATTTTACTCAATTCCAATGAAAATTGAACTATACATACACGCCATTTTGTTCAATTTATTTTGAGAAAATTGCAGAAAAAAATCCAGATATATTTTGAATGAATTTACTAATAAATTGACAGTATAGACCACCCAGTGGCAAAACTGTCATTGTGACCGGGAAATCCTCTTGACAACGGCTACTTGACAGTATGGTTAAAGAAATATGTAAAAGTTATGATCGATAGTGGACTGTGGCATCGATCTGTTGTGTGCGTGACTTAGCTTTACAG